CGGAGCCTGCTTAGTCACGTAAAGGGATTTGACGAGCTGGCAGACCAGCGTGGGTTCGTCAACATACGCGTGGGGCTGCTCGACGAAGATATCAGCATCGAGGGGGGCGTAGAGGAATGACGTGGCAACATCGATCTGTCGCAGGAGGAGCTTCTGAGTGACGACGAAGGCGAGGAGAATGCAGAGAGAAGTGTGGCAGCTGACTGGAGTGAAGGTCTCGGTTTAGTCAAAGCCGCGGACCACCCATCATGCTTTGAAACGGTCAATAGTCCCATCCGCCTTTGTCTTCACTCGGAAGACCCACTTCCCGGAGAGGATTGGCTTCCAATTATTTCTCTCGTGCATTGCCGCTAATTTGCGATCCATTGCATTGCTCCATTTTTCCCTGTGTGGGCCTTGCAGCGCCCACTTGACTGTCTTCGGATCCTCGACTGGTGGCAGCGAGGATGGTGGATGTACGGCTGCAACGAGTCCAAGGATCTGTAGCCTTTTTTCAGTATAGCGGGGGAGATGAGGAACCTCGGGATAGATTGCTTCGTCTCCCGCTTCACGATCAGGTATGAAACCTGGTCCTACTCTTTCTGAAATGTTAGTGTCGACGTTGTGGGGTGTTACGTAACCAGTGTCGGCGAAATGGAAGTATGCCTTAGCTTTCGCGCTTTTGCGAAGATTTTCTTCGTCCACTAGCATTTCGACGGAGCAGTAACATAGCGGTCCTGTAGCTGCTGACGCGTCCGGGATGTTCTGCTCGTCCAGGACAGCTTCTTCGTCTGTCGAGGCAAACGCGCATGGGCCAGCGAAACCACCAGATGGGTCTTGATTGATGGCAATGATCTCGAGGTAATGGTAGAGGGTGAGGTTCTCATAGAAAATCACATTACGTGCCGATACTGTTTCTTTGTCTTCCACGTCAAAGATTTTCCATGCCTTGTAATGTTTTTCCACACCAAGATGTAGACCCCATCTTGCCTGCTGCGAAAATCTTCCAGCTCGTGCAATGTGTGTGGTCGGTACTGTACCATGCAGCTGAAAACTCGTAACAATTTTGTGCTGCCCTGCTTCCCTGTCCACAGCAGATGTGGTGATGCGTTGTTTGGCAGGGAGCTTGACGACAGAAGATTCTACAGCATGACGGTGTGATTCATCGCTTCCGGCCTCTACGAGTTGGGCTGGCGCATCCCAGTCAACAGCTTCCTTATGGTGTTCTGGAGAGTTCAGTTCATCCTCTCGGCGACACCATTCTGTTGCTAAGCGTAGGGGAGGGTGATGAGCCTCTTGATCCCTCTCTCAGCAAGGTAGTCCTTGAAGCACTATGACTAGTATTCCCTCGCCCCGTCTGACTGAAAACATTTCAGATTTGTGTCTCCCTCTCGTTCTGCTGCAGCGAGCCATGTGACAAAGGAAGGGAAGGCGAGGTCGCGTAACGGTAGATTAAGATTCCAGGTGTACCATGTCGCGGCATCGGTGAACGTGATTACGTAGTTGAGGTTGGCCCGGCCGACTTCTTGTGGAATATACAATATATCTTTGAATACTTTTTCAAGAGGAGCGTAATCTGGTGCACTGGAGTTGTGATGCGATGGGAACGTTTGACGAGGAAGATCTGCTTTAGGGCAGATAAAGCAGGTGCTTCGAGGTCGGCGGAGTTCATGGCCATCGAGGAGTAGGAGAGGGTCCTTGTCCAGGACGTTCGCATGAATGGTGTTGAGTAGGCGTGAGTTGCCAGGATTTCCTAACCGCTGATGTCAGATTTCATCGCTTGCCTTGTGTCCCACAGATCGATGGGTTAGGTCCGAATTGGCGTAGAAGGCGGAGACAGTCACAGTGCTTTAATGCTGCTCACGAGGATGCGCCTTCAGCTGCTCGGCGGTGGTCGACGGTGGCTCATCAACAGGTGGTGTGTCAGGCGGAGCTTCCTCGACGGGTGGTGCCGACGAAGTTCCAGCGATGGAACTTTCAGGAAGTGCTCGTGGTGGCGCTTGTTGTTCTGCTGCATGAGATGGTGCTGGTTCTTGCTCCTCTGCTTTGCGCATCACCGCTAATGCCCATGTGCTTTCCGCTTTAGGTATCGGGTTGGAGTAACAGAAGCTGTCGTGGTCAAAACCAGGATCGAGATCTGGCGGGTGCGTCCAAGACGTGAAGGAGACAACGCCATCGTTGTCAGCGGTCCCGCGGTCTGGAACGAAGTCCAAGATGAAGACTCCGTGCTTCTGGACAGCCCTGCCGATGAAGAGACCACCCTTCCCGTGGTAGAGACGGAACTCTCGATCGAAGCTGTCACACTCCATGTGAATGCCCTTCGACATTAGCTGGCTGACACTTAGCAGATTGTATCCGAGGTTGTTGACGACGAGTACTCGTGATATCTGTAGTATCGCATTTGTCTTGCTTGATTGTTACTGAACGACCCCTTGTTTTCGGCTCAGAGTCTTCTCTCGCTGGACGAAGCGTGCCAAGGAACACATGTGCTGACCACAGCACCTATCAAGAAACCAGGTGTCGCGGTCAGACGGTTTGTCGCGAGCTATTGCAGCGTAAATCAGGTTCGGTTGGAGTCGGGTTTGTGTCGGAGCGGGGGGTTGGTCGTCGGGATCATAATGAGGAGGGGAGTCAGGTGCACAGAAATCTGTTCATGCCATGCAGCTAACGACGTTTCTTGCGTCTTGTGCAAAGCGGTTCGTCGGAGCTGGTGGGCGCTGCTGAGTTTAAGTGATCGGACTTGGTGACGGAGGTGGCGCTCGAGGCTGATACTGCGGGAGCTGCGGTTGCTGCTGCTGCTACTTTGGGCAATTGAGGTATGAGTGTCCCGTGGTGCGGCAACGATGACCATACGGAGGTGAGTGGCGTTTTTTATTTTGATTGTTGTAATTGCAACCATGCGGGTAGAACACGCTGACTCGGTTTCTTTGCGTGGCGTTCTTTGTACAGGTCCATGTCTTTCTGTTTGGCATTGAGTTCCGCGCACAAATGCATCTCAAATATCCTCCCGTGGGTGCGTAGAAGGGAGCGCGTCATGCGCCACTGAGGACCGAGGCCAGCGAGGACGATCGTAACAAATGAATCTTCTGATAAGTGTCCACCACATCGTAACAGCCTATCGCATAAGCCTCTGCAACGATTGATGTACACCATCGCCTTTTCTCCTGGTTGCATCTGAATTGTTGTAAGTTGTGCCATCAGACGACTTTGAGTCACCCTGTCGGTTGCCTGGCAGACGCTTTTCAAGTGGCAGTATGCGAGTTTGGCCGAGTTGCCGAAGTTGCGATATGTCACTGTAGCTTGCATAGTTTGTCGCTACTACCTGTCATTTAACTTCGGTCTTCAGCCCGGCGAGATACGACTGTACTTTTTCCCCTTCGGTCAGGTCAGGAATGCGGTTCTAAAATTCCTCCATCTGTTGCGTGTACTGCGCTACACTCCCGAACTGTCGATGGCTATGAATTTTTTCCCGGGGAAGGAAACCCGAATCTATCGGCTCGAAGCATTTCAGCAGGTCGGTGCGGAACTGCTGCCACCTGGCTTCGCCGTGGATGAAGGTACTATTACTGCCGATCCACTCGAGTGCCGGTCCTCGCATCAGTGTCGCCGCGAGTCGTACGCGTTGACCGTCCCACACTGACGAGCTCCATCCGACGGCTGCAAAGTAGATCTCCATGCCGGCGATCCATGTGCGGGCGTCGGAATTTCGATCGCTCGGATCGAACGGCTGAGGTGGGCGCCATTTCGGAGCCTCAAGAAACTGCTGCAACTGTGGTGTCGTCGCCGTTGTCATGTCGTGCTGCGCGCCGGCGAGTCGAGTTACTCACTCGAACTCGTTTCGCCAAGCTTTGTAATCGGCTCGCATCTCCTCCTGAAGGGCGGTGATGCTCGCCAAGAGCTGCTGGGTAACCTCGACGTTGTCGAAGTTCGCCATCCTTTTCAAAACACGCACGGAGGGGTGGATTCAAAAAACGCGGAGCTGGTCCTTACCAGAATCGCCGAATTAGTCGCCCCCGGCGGTTTTCGAAGCAGGTTTTCCCGCTGCTCCGACTTAGCTGAGCGCGGCTGAGTGAGAAAGGCTCTGATTACCAAGTGTCACAGGATCAAATGTGTCGAGGAAATGTTGCATTATCGATGGATACAAGGCGCTTTTATACTTCCAAAGTACATCAGGTAACCACGTTTATCCTATCTAGAAAGAATAGACCCTTCTAGAAATAGAATCACTCTGCGTATAGCCACGCAAGGCTATTGGCTTTAAGGGATTACGGTAGGATTATGCTAGATATCGCGCGCCAGTACATCCCAAGCGTGGCCGGTAATATAATTACAATAACACGATAAACCAAAGGATAATGAAATAGGAGAAATAGGAAACCAAATGAGATGAGAGAAAAAGAGGAATGAAATAGAAAGGAAATATGGAAAGGGGAAATTGGTGTAACGGGGTCGTACTCTCACACTTCTCCCCCTCAAAGCTGGGTGGTAGAAGTAACACACTACTTGACAAGGTATTCGCGAAGAGGACGACGAGCGTTACCCATTTCGGATTCAGGAACCCAAGTGTCCTCAGAAGGATCATAACCCTTCCAACGGATGAGAAGCTTCACGGTGCCATTCCGACGACGGCGGTGTGCGAGCACGGACTCGACCTCATTCTCGGGTTCATCGTGGAAGAGAATGGACGGCGGCGGCGGTGGTTGGCGTCCCGTGAAGACCGTGTTGGGGTCGCGATAGGGCTTCAGAAGTTGGACATGGAAGGCGTTGTGAATCTTCCAGGTAGCTGGTAGGCGTAAGCGGAAGGTAACAGGAGTGACATGTGCTTCAACGGCAAAGGGCCCGCAGAAGCAAGGTCGCAGTTTGGATGGGAGATGAGGGAGGTAGATATTGCGGGTGTCGAGTAGGAATTGGTCTCCCACGGTGATGGTGTGGTCAGTGCGGTGGCGATCGGCCTGGCGCTTCTATTGCTGCTGAATGTCGAGGAGGCGCTTGTGGGTCCGATCCCAAAGCTGATGCATGGTTGTGATGAAGTCATGTGCGGGTTAAACTGTAGCTGATGCTGTCGGTTTTTGTGGCATGAGTGGGTGGAGTCCGTAGCAATGGAAGAACGGCATCTGTCCAGTAGCGGCGTGAGTGGCGTTGTAGTAGGCAAACTCCAGGACGGGCAGATGCAAGTCCCATTTAGAGATTTTGTCTTTGCATGCTGCGGGGAGAAGGTGCTCTAAAATTTGGTTGAGGCACTCGGTCTGTCCATCTGTCTGCGGATGGTAGGCGGATGACATGGCGAGTTTGGTCCCGAGTAGAGACATGAGTTCCTTCAAGAACTTGTTGGTGAACTTGGGGTCTCGGTCGGAGATGAGTGTGGTTGGAATGCCATGTTGTGATATGATGTAGCGAACGAATAGTTGTGCTGTTTCTTCGGTGCGTGCTGTCGTGTGTGTCGGGATGAAGTGTCCCATTTTGGAGAATTTATTGATGATGACGAGGATTGCGTCATGACCGTTAGTGGTAGTTGGTAACCCAGATTGCGGCAATGTGTGCACGCGGACTGATAGCGTCTGCTTTGTTTTTGTGGCCGGGCTTGTACATGATGTCATAGTGGAAGTGCGTCTCGAGGAAGTCAATCCACCGGACCTGCTGCCTGGAGGTTTGGTTGTGTCTTCAAATATTTCAGGCTGCAGTGGTCAGTGTAGACGGTTGTTTGTCGTCCTTCGAGATAACATCTCCACGTTTTGAAGGCGATGATAATAGCAAGGGCCTCCTTGTTGTGTATTGGGTAGTTTAGTCCTGCCCCGTGTAGATTCTTGCTGAGGTAGGCGATTGGTTGCAGTCAATTCCCCTGGTCTTGCATTAAGACGGATCCCAATGCCTGGTCACTGGCGTTAGCTTCGATGACAGAGTCGCGTTCGGGGTCTGGCAAGATGAGTATAGGCGCGGACGTGAGTGCTTGTTTCAGCTGCTCCATGGCTTTCTTATGCTTTTGTTCCCACTTATAGGGCGTGTTCTTCTTCAGCAGATTCGTAAGTGGCGTTGCGATTTTTGCGTACTGTGGCACGAACCTGTTGTAGTAGTTAGTGAAGCCTAGGAACTGCTGCAACTCTTTCATGTTCTCGGGTGTCTTCCACGTGCGTACGGCTTCGATCTTCTTGGGGTCGACGTGAACTCCTATAACGCTCATGATGTGTATTAGGAATTGGACTTTCTCGATGGCGAATTCGCTCTTGGATAACTGGACGTGGAATCGTTCTCGTCGGAGAATGTCGAAGACGCGTCGCAGGTGTTGGACGTGTTGCTGCATGTCGCGCAACTAGATGAGAATGTCATCCAGGTACACCACCACGCATTCGTCCAAGAGTGGGCGTAGAATATGGTTCATTTCAGCCTGGAATGTTGCTGGTGCGTTGGTGAGTCCGAATGGCATTACCAGATACTCGTACGACCCGTATCAAGTTCGGAAGGCAGTTTTGTGGATGGAATTGTCCGCCATTCGTATCTGCCAGTATCCGGACCGCAGATCCAGTTTGGAAAATACTGTAGCTCCCCGAAGCTGGTCATTGGAACTCCTTCAGTAATTCCTTAATTTTTTGTGGAGGTTCTAAGGTTTTCTCTCTATCGCTTTCCGTATCCGTCGCTATCGCCAGGAACCCGGTGTCGGTTCATTTTACGTCCTTCTCGAATCTTGCGAGTGTCTCCACTACGATTTACCCAGTTGATCTCGGGGTTGAATCGTTTTAGGAAGTCTCGCCCGAAGATCAAGTCAAGCCCTTTTATGTTGGTGATAGGGAGTGCAGATCTCCAACGTAGTGGTCCGATTTGTAGGTGTAGCACTGCTTCGCCGTGTACTGGTAACTTGCTGTCGTCCACCATTGTTGCAGAGTATACCGAAGGCTTGTACTCTTCTCGAAGTCGGTCGATTACTGCCTTGTCGCAAACTGTGTGTGATGCTCCACTGTCCACGAGTGCTTGGAGAGGTCGTCCTTTGCAGATGACCTCGAGCACAAGGGGCGGGCGTTGCTCGGAGTACCCAAAGATAGTTTCGTTAATAGGATCATAGGGTACATCCCAATATTCCGCACACACTATTTTCTTGCTATCTGCTCGTGGGCTAGCAGCTGGCCGAGGCTGCTTGGAGAAAGTCTCTCCCTCAGGACCCTGAGCTTTCTTGACGACTGTGTGTGTCGTTGATGCCGGATTTGCTGAGCTGGATGCATCCGGAGAAGGAGTTCGGGGTTTTTGCAGCCTTGTGTAGACCCCCAGCTTCCTCTTGAGCTGCTTCAGCTCCACCGACGTCTTCCCAGGGGAACGGGTAGTCATTGTGGGCTGGTGTCGGGAGAGACGTTGACTCCGTGGAAAGGTCGGCTTCTTTCCACACTCCTTAATTTTGTCCCCAAGTTTTCCGGTATTGGTATGATCTCCAAAAGTTTCTGCTTCTTCTGGAGTGCCTCCCAAAATTTCTCCAAGGCTCTAGCCCCTCCAAAATTATGAGTTTTCATTAAAGCATCTTTACAATATCACTTTAACGAATCCTTATCATTTCTTGGGTCTTCAAGGAGTTTCCCCGGCAGAGTCCTTCTTCGCGGAGTCAGATTTTTCTCGGCGATTTTCCCTGGCGAAGACTGGTCGTGGGGTGGAGATTTTTCCCCATCATTTCCTCCTGCTCACGTCGAATCAGCTTCGTTGAAGTCGATTTCCCCGGAATCACGTGGCCGCTTTCGGATCTTTTCTTTTTCACCAGCTAGATCCGCAATCACTGGCGAATTCCATTTTTTGTCTTCTGAATGGTCGAAGAATTTCCGCCACTGTTGCGTGCACGATACTCTGCGCGTGCGGCTTTCATTTTGTTGCAGTCGCAGATTTGATGGCTCGGCACCCCGCAAAAATCACACGTGTAGTTGGTGTTCTCCATCGTGTTCCGGCGTTGACCATGTCGAACCGCTCTGCTGCCAAAACGACGTCACTGTAGCTCGCATAGTTTGTCGCTGCTACCTGTCGTTTAACTTCGTTCTTCCGCCTGGCGAGATACGACTGTACTTTTTCCCCTTCGGTCAGGTCAGGAATGCGGTTATAAATTTCCTCCATCTGTTGCGTGTACTCCACTACACTCCCGAAATGTCAATGGCGATAAATTTTTTACCAGGCAAGGAAACCCGGATTTATCGGCTCGAAGCGTTCCAGCAGGTCAGTACGGAACTACTGCCACGTTGCTTTGCCGTGGGTGGAGGTACTGTTACCACCGATCCACTCGAGTGCCGGTCCTTGCATCAATGTCGCCGCGAGTCGTACGCGTTGACCGTCCCACACTGGCGAGCTCCATCTGACGGCTGCGAAGTAGATCTCCATGCCGGCGATCCATTTGTGGGCGTCGGAATTTCGATCGCTCAGATCGAACGGCTCAGGTGGGCGCGGTTTTGAAGCCTCGAGAAACTGCTGCGACTGCTGCATCCTCGCCATTGTCGTGTCGTGCTGCACGCCGGCGAGTCGAGTTACTCGCTCGAACTCGTTTCGTCAAGCTTCGTGATCGGCTCGCATCTCCTCCTGAAGGGTGGCGATGCTCGCGAAGAGCTGCTGCGTAACCTCGGCGTTGTCGAAGTTCGCCATCCTTTTCAAAACACGCACGGAGGGGTGGATTCAAAAAATGCGGAGCTGGTGCTTACCAGAATCGGCGCCGAATTAGTCGCCCCCGGCGGTTTTTCGAAGCAGGTTTTCCCGTTGCTCCTGCTTTGCTGAGCGCGGCTGAGTGAGAAAAGCTCTGATACCAAGTGTTACAGGATCGAATGTGTCGAGGAAAAGTTGCACTATCGATTGATACAAGGCGCATTTATTCTTCCAAAGTACATCAGGTAACCAGGTTTATCCTATCCAAAGAGAATAGACCCTTCTAGAAATAGAATCATCCTGCGTATAGCCACGCGAGGCTAATGGTTTTAAGGGATTACGGCAGGATTACGCTAGATATAGCGCGCCAGTACATCCCGAGCCTGGTTGGTAATATAATTATAATAACAGGATAAACCAAAGGATAATGGAATGGGAGAAATAGGAAACCAAATGAGATGAGAGAAAAAGAGGAATGGAATAGAAAGGAAATATGGAAAGGGGAAATTGGTGTAACGGGGTCGTACTCTTACACGATGCGTGTGAATGCTTTGTTGTTCCGTTGGTGTCAGATTACGCACGAGGATGGTGAAGGCCATCAGCTGCTGATAGGTGTAAATCTTCTTTTCTTGATTAGTCCCGTTTACAGGAAAAGGCCAGGAGCTGGTGAAGAAGCCGAGGATTTGCACGCCGTCTATCAGCAACTCGAAGTCAAAGCTACAGGAAAAGAAGTCCTTGCCATAGAATGGTGAGGATGTCTGTAGTTTCAAGATGCTGTTGCATGATGACGGTGTCTGATTGTTTGTCAGCTGTCTCCAAATCCACTGCCGGCGCCGGAGTCGGCACGAAGGTGAACGAGACTGGCAAGGGCCGGTAAGGTTGATGCTGTGTAGGCTGTGTGCCTCTTGCGAACACTGCGCCATCGAGGCTCATTGGAATTGCGCCACTATTGTTGTTGTTGTATGCCGATTAAGCAGGTGCTGAAGATTGCTCATAGTACGACATGAAGGAGAAGAATTTCTCCATGAGATTCGGGTCCATGCCCCAGGAGGAGGCCACTGGTTGCGTGGAGGCTTCTGCAGTTGCGACTGCCTCAGTCTATAGTCCAGAGACTGGAGGTGCAGAGGGGGATCCGGTAGAGGATCCATCGCCCTTAGATGGCGTCATGTTTTGTAACCTTGAATTGATGTAACTAAAATTGTTGCAAGTGATTCTATAAATGAGCTAGAGACTCACTGCGGGAGTTTGTAACCTGAGCGTAGCTTCTAACTAGCTCTCATACCATGTTGGGCTTCGAATAGCCCTAGGATATTCTCAAAATACTAAGTCCTTGTAACAGAGTGCTTGATAGCATAGCGGAAGTCTTGATGAACCCTTGTACTGGTATGTGAGAACAAGTGATTGGTTATAGTAAGGGGATACAAGGGTTTATATCAGGCCCCCAAATTGCAGTCTTTTTACTCTTATTCAGACATTTTTCAGACTGTTTTTGGGGGTGTACTATGATTGGGAAGACTTTTTTTTATACCTTACTCTTATTTTTCAGAGAAGATTTATGTACCTACGCTGTTTTTCATACTTTTTTCACTAGTGTACTCCGATGCCTCAACTATGTATGGGGGATTGACTCTGTTTCGTGTAATACCATGATTGGGGTTGGGGAGGGCGTGATTTTCCTGTGGGGGGCGCTGATTGGCCCTTAGCCAAAATCAGGGCAGAATGCTTGCTCGGGGCTTTGTGAGGGCGGTTACTGGCCCTTCACCAAAATCGAAGGCCGAAGCGTACTGGGGGCTGTGTGAGGGAGCTGACTGGCCCTTCACCAAAATCACCTCCCATTTTGTGATGCGTGCGTTCTGAGGGGCCAATTGGCCCTTGAAAAAAATTGTCGAGGTGTGCTGCGTGTTAAATTATATAGGTTATATATAATTGTAGGCTTGTAGGTGTTACTAAAACCTACTGTAGAAGGTACAACCCCCTCCTTGTATCCCTCTCTCTTCTAATCTCGATCTCTTTCCTCTCGTAACTTTCCTAGCTCTAAAACCTCACGCCATTCATGGCTCCTACTCCTACCTAGGTTCTGCGGGCTGTGTGTGCGAGGGCGCCCATTGGCCCTTCACAAAATAGCCACCTGGATGGCCCCAATTTCCCTACCTCCCAGTTCCTTTCCGCCCCATCCCTCGATTTCGTCCCCCACACGCAATTCGCCAGGATCCCGTATCTCCACCAGCCGATTTTGTCGCCGTACCTCAGGCACGCGAAATTACTAAACACGGAATGGGGAGGGGGAGGGATAAGAAACTCTTGAAAGACTCATCTGAATTTTTTAAATTTTGTATTTCAGTCTGTCTCGGAGATTAGAATAGTAAAAATCTCAGGCGAGAGCGCTGTACAGTATAGTACAACCTCGTCATCAGCCTCGCTGATCAATTACACTTGCGCTGGCGTGGGGCCGGGTCTAGGGTGGCGTGAAATTCAGTGTTGTCGCCCGAACACAGATAGGTAGTGCACGCAAGAGGAGAAAGCCCCTCAAGGGAGAAGTCTGAGGGCAGCGGTTCGGAAGGCATGGGAAAAGTAATGTGCAAAACACCAACTTTGAAATCAGAGTTAAAAATAATGGTAACTCTGATTAATCAGACAAAATATCTATTGTTACTCTGGTTTTTCAGACTTTGTTTAAGGGGCGACTCTGAAGGCCATACCAAGAGATGGGCAGGCAAGTCTGATAAATCAGACAAGCCCAAAACCAATTTGGGGGCCTGGTTTATATAATAATACAAGAGAATACGAACAGTCTAACT